GAATCTAGATCATCCATTTTTTTTTTTAAATCTAAGGCTAATATTAAAGTGTCATTTATATAACTTTTCAAACTTATGTATGTAACACTCGTTTCTCAGGTATTTTCATTTATAACTTAGACTATAATTTTCTTGAAAAATGGTCCTTATGTGGGGCGTAATATACTTCCTACGCATGACGTAGGAAGGGGTATGAAACGTGGGGGCTTATGCCCTACGAAGTGCGTACTAGTCCTACGTAGGGCGTACGTGCGCAATGTCCAAACCAAACAATTCTAGGCTTTTAGCCGTATTTAAAGGCCTTAACTCCCTTGATGTATCTCCATACTCAACCCCCACTGTCTCCAAACAGCCAACTCGAAATCCTAATCCCTTATGAGCTTGTTTTGAACCGTTTTGTTACAGCCCAATTTTCATAAAAATTTTAAACTTTTGTTTTCATAACATCAACCATAGTAAATATAAAAATCCCAATACATATCCATGTTATTTTGAAAATTCAAAGTACAAAAGAATAAATGTGAAAACACCGGAGAATGCATGCCTCGTCATCAAGCCGGCCCTTGCCCTTATCAATGGAAGTACCTGAAACATATAAATAAACTGTAAGCACAAGCTTAGTGAGTTTCCCAATCACACAAAACATATAATCACATAATGTCATGCTCATACATATACATACAATTTTCCATGGACTCCCTCCATGGTCTTCAAGGGAATGTCATGGGCTACCCCCATGGTCTTATATCCTCATGTCATGGGCTCCCCCATGATCTTGACAAGTGTTATGGGCTCCCCCCATAATCTTCACATAAGCCTCTACCTAAATCAAATAACATACCATTTCCCATACTATATAACCATCTTATATCAAATAATGGGCCGGCCTTGGTGCCTTCGACCCATGCGTGTGGTGAGAAGACTCACCTCAAATACTGACAGTAGTTGAATAGGTCCCGGCTCCGAGTATCAGCTCCACTAAATCCCTAAACATAAGCACTTCTTAAATTCAACACAAAACTTCAAATCCTAAGAGTCAACCTTGGTCAAAGTAAAAGTCAAAGTCAACACCTCGAGTTGACCCAACTCGTCGAGTTATCCTTCAACTCTTCGAGTTCCCTTCAAAGGTAGAATTGCGATATCGTGATCTAGCTCGTCGAGTTTCCCTACAACTCATCGTGTTTCCCCATTTATCCGACAAGATCGTGACAAACCCAAACCAACTCGCCGAGTTCCCCTACGAACTCGTCGAGTTCTCCAGTCTGCCAACCCACTTAATACATTGAGCCATTTTTCGAATCCAAGGATTCCAAACCTCAGATCCATTCCATAATGTTGTCTAGAAGGGTAAAGTTTCCAAATTTACCCTTAAGAACCAGTCATAAGGCTTAAAACCCCTAAATCCTAGTTTCTTTAAAGAGGGTCTTGACCCATTAAGCCCCTAACTTCCATTGCAACGTTCCAAAATACAGATCTGGTGTCCCAAGGTGGAAAAATCACATAAAGTTTCCAACTTTACGTTCATGCATGCTAGAAACACCCTCTAAGGTCCATTTTTGGCTTCATAATGGACATATTGCATGAATGGGACATGGAGGTCATTAAAGTTTGCAACTTTAAGCCTCAAGAGGTCATGTAGGGGTCAGATCTACTCCATCAACCCCTAGAAACCTCTTCTCCTTGGAGAAGGTGACGACTTTATACCTCAAAGATGTAGCCTCTGATGAAGAGTTTCTGCATCTAAAGTCACTCCTCCAAGCTAGGTGCTTCACTTTTCAAGACTCCTTTCAAGAACCAACAACAAACACTCTTAAGCTCTCACTACTCAATATGCAAGAAGGAAAACGATTCTAGGGTTTTCTCTGGGCAAGGGAGGCTGGTATGGAGGCCAGCCAAAAAAGTTAAGTCCTTTATATTGGATGCAACACCCGAAAATTAGGGTTTTCACTTCCTACGCCAACTCGTTGTGTTAGGACACCCCGACTCGTCGAGTTGAGTCATTAAAATGTACGGCTAGAGAAAACTCTACACGACGAGTTGGAGCCTCCCAACTCGTCGAGTTCCACTCAAGACTGGAAAAATAAAAGAATTTATTTCATACCTGGACCAAGCGTTAGACGTTTTGTGTGTTTTGCTGCATTTTGAAGAAGAAGGAGTTTATCATAGTGGTGTAGTGTGGTTCAAGCTTGAAGATCCAGAACTCTGATCTCATTTGCCAACCTTAGGAGTTGTAAGGTTCCCACCTTTACGGTTCTATAGATTAGATCTAGGTTAGTTTCTTGGTTTGTATGATTATGGTCCCGTGGTTTCGGTTCTTGTAAGTAATAGCTAATACATATTAGAATTTCTTGATGT